AAAATACAACACTCCACAGTATGTATATATATATATATGTATATATAGTGCTATTATGGAATAAAGCTGTTTAAAATACAACATTCCACAGTATGTATATGTATATATATATATATATAGTGCTATTACGGAATAAAGCTGTTTAAAATACAACACTCCACAGTATGTATATATATATATATGTATATATAGTGCTATTACGGAATAAAGCTGTTCAAAATACAACATTGCACGGTTTACATGGTGTCCTAGAAGTCTGGACCCATAGGTAAAATATACATTATATTCTTACAGTTCAACAAACACATTTTTAATGTCAGTTGTACATATTTCTAGAAAGAAAATACCCTGATGGTGCAGTATACCAAGAATTGATATGCATATGTCTGTTAATGGCATGCAGTTTGAATAATAAATAAATTAAAAATACAGTGTGTATTTTCCCAGTGGGTGCAGACTTCTGGGACACCCTGCATATATCTATGTAGTGCTCTTAAGGAATAGCTGTTAAAAATACAACATTCCACAGTATATATATATGTGCGTAGTGCCTTAAGGAATAAAGCTGTTAAAAATACAACATTCCACAGTATTTTATATATATGTGTGTGTGTGTGTGTGTGTGTAGTACCTTAAGGAACAGCTGTGAAAAATACAACATTCCGTAGTGTATATGTATGTATAGACACGAGATTCCTATCTAGTTATATTGTATTAGAAACAGTAGGAGAAATGTTTCATGTATATATTTATATGGAGTTACATGTATATATTTATGGTGTTTATGTTTAACTAGTATAAAAGCCCGTCAAAAATGATGGGAAACCAAAGCCTACCAAATTTGAATCATCCAATATACATTTGCAAGTTTGCCGCCCGTAAATAGACATATGTAAAATAAAGGGCCTTCTGGTTTCGAGAAACCAAGGCCTATCATGAGTAATATCTCCTTTACCTAAATAATGTGTATTTCCAACATCTATCCTTGTCCTAGCTTTCACTGGTCACAGTTATTTTCTTATCACATCAATTACATTATTACAATAGTTCTTTAAAACCACATTTCTTGTAAATACTCGATCATTGTTCAAAACTTCTCTTTGTGACAAACGGGAAATTAATTTCACTCAGTGCTAAATAAATCCTTCGTATAAAAACTCCCTCTTTGACAGGATTTTGTATAACAGAAAAAGTGTCGAAACTTAGGAGTTATTTACGCCTATTTTAGCGATTGAATTCAACTAAAATGGGAAGGGGCAATTAAAACAGGAAGTATTATAGGAGAAAAACAAGAATTGGACTCATGTAACTCACGGAATTCGGAAAAATCGAGTGTAACCGACTGACTGACCGACCGACATTTGGCTTTTATGATTGTCATTAACCATACCGATGGCCAGGTTGATTTGTAATTTCGCTGTAAGTACATAGGCTTTTCTGATCTGAAAATAATATTAATAACTATCATGCTTTCTTCAATATTGTCCCCAGGTGGGACAGCAGTAAGTTTACGGACTTATAATGCTAAAATCCGAGGACATATTGGTAAAGTCGCTGGATGCAACGTCTAAGGTTCTTTTTGTGACTTGACTGTTGAAGCAGACACTGGGAACCAATGTCCTTGTACATTAGCTAGCTTAGGGAAGGCATGCAGAAAGAAATGGTGTGTTTTGAACGTGACAGCCTTCAGATCGAGCCTTTTTCAGTGGAAACCATACTGCATAACTATTTGAATCCAAAATGGACAAAATACCTGGAATGTGAAGTAAAAATTCTCTGGCGTTTACGTGTTTCTGTCAAATTTTAGGCCTAATAAATACATTGTTGTTTAAGTAGTTGAAAAGCACGTGTCTAATATTTGCCTAATTAATTAAAATATTCTCAAAATCTATCCACTTCATGGACCAGAAGACCGATTACCCAGTTTTACACGTACTGGGGTACCTCCTCATCTGCTCCAGTTCTTGCATAAACCCTATCATCTATGGAGTTACCAACAAACAGTACCGTAAAGCCTACAAGACAGTATTGTTATTCAAACAGCCAGCAAGCAGGACCACTAACGCTTCTAACTCGAATGGCACTGGTAATAACCCAGCCATCTACAACGTTTAAAATATAAACAAACGAAATCTCACCAATATCAAACACACGGGAGATAACAGTACAATATTATAACCAAATATACACAAGGTGGATTCAGTTGCGGGAAAATAAATCGTCGATGGATTAAACTACCTAGAAAAGTAAAATAATATGTTATACATATATATTATTGGATATACATGTAAATGTATTTGTATTATAATTGTAAGTCTAATAGGTTTGGTATTTGTCAAAGCGAACAGATTTCTATTCTTTGTAGGCCTATTTTCTAAATCACATATCATTGGAATAATACATACATTTTGAGTATATAGTCTATGCAGTTATATGTCTTGCATCATACAGATACTTGGTTTATCTATTTTAACTTTTGAACAACCCTTTGACACTAGGGAGGTTATAATTATCTTCCAGTTTCTATAAACGAAATACTCAACATAATATTCAAGGACAACAAAAGATCTGTTGGTCCATCCGAGCTGTCACATCCACTAAACTAAAATTTAATTTAAAAAAAAACTAAAAGCTAGCCCTTATCATCTAAATATTTACCAAGCCTTAAATTTATTTCTTCTACAGATCTAAAGGTAAGCAATTCCAAATTATGCTAATTACTCTGTTAGGAAAATATTTTTTTTAGTTGAAGGTGATTCTATGCTGCTAACATCATAAAGTCAGTACTCTATATGTAAGGATGACCAATGTACTCAATAGGCATAAACAAATATGCTCGCTAAAACGACAATGACAGAAACTTTTACTTTAAATAATGATCACCAGGTACCGAACCAGAAAGTGACCCACCCACCAAATTGTTGATCTTTCTTTTTGTCTCAGTCGAAATAACTCTACAACTACTTTTCCACTAATGTCTAAGTCCATTCTACGTGTTCCTGAGCAGTGCAAAATGTCATCGCTTGGTCGTAATAACTACTATTAATTACATCGAAACCCGGATTCTAGCGTTGTAAGTCCGCAGACATGCCGCTGTGCCACTGGGGGGCTTTTAGTAAGTAATAAATGTTATGTTAAATATTATGTCAGTTTTGCTGAAATTAGGAAAAAAGTTATATCGTTTGAGTTAGGAAAATTATTAATAATAATTTAATGAGTTAAAGATTAATCGATTATTTTGGTAGTTGCTAGGACTTAATAATCTTCTTTGCAGAATCTGCATATTTTTATTTATTGTTACAAATAAGAAAGTACTGTTACCACTGAAGGTTTAGTTACACATTTTCTCACAGATGGGTATTTCTTAATAATTTGTTTCAACAGTTAACAAAATATTTAGTTTTATAGCCTAAAAGTATACATATTAATTTATAAGTTATTGTAAAAGCACAACGACCACTGCAAATTCCTCAATGTGGATTTACACACATATTGTATTGTAACAACTTTTAAAAAATGCGTTTGACAGTAAGTAATAGAAGCATAAAAAGAACATGAAATGTTTCATTGAGCAGTAAACATTCTTGATGACGCTAACTTTGTATTTATTACAATGCATTATTATATATTAAATGTATTCTTAGAGCTAGGCCTAACAAGCTCGGTGTACTTTGAATATCAGCTAATCAGATTTCCTATAAGAAAAGTCAGTATCCAAAAGTTCCTATAATAGTTAACTTAAGTGTTTAAAACATTGAAAGTTTAGTGAATACTGGGGGCAAACACATTTCTTGAGATCCGGACGTTACAACCCACGTCAACCTATTACCTTTTTTAATGTTTTACAAGTTACTTGCAGTTTGATTATGCTCATTATTTTAAAAGATGTTTTTAATTTTGTTAAATCAAAGGTTTTAAACATAGTAGGCTATCTGCTGTGTCCATTATCAACCCCCAGATTTTAGCGTTGTAAGTTCTTAAACTTACAGATGTCCCACCGGGGGACAAAATTTGAGGTTATAACAACTACAGTTTTGGATGGATTTTTCAGTTTGAAAACAAAAGAACGATGTCGGTTAAGAAGATGTATAGTAGTGTTAATAGTTTAAAAATATGTCTATTGGTAATGATGATCCCATATTTTATTTACAGATATACTTCTGTAGTTTAAAAAGATCAAAGTAATGTGTATAAACTTATAAGTGTCCCGTATTATTTAATTTTTTATCTTTTGTCCAAATTTGTTTGCTTTCTTCTTGACACTATATTCTCAAACAATCAAAACTTTGAAAAGTCGTGTGTAAGTAGTTGTATATTATTTATTGCTGTTTTACTAAAAAGAAACTACATATACATATATATATTTCAATTTACTTACCTTAATAACTGTCTGGGGAAGAAAACAAAAAACAAAAGAGCAGAAGATGATGAGGATCATTCTTGTGAGGCGCCATTCTTCCAGTCGTTTCTTGGCATCTTGGTCGTTTCGCTGTACATTGTTGTATTTCTGGAGACGCTTCGAGCTTCTCTTCATCACACAGAGGATCCGGGTGTAGCAAAATACAATTATTACCGATGGTAACGAAAAACCAAAAGTGAATAAAAAATATTTTGATGACCGTCCATTGACCTCTATCATATCACATTCCCTGGTTTTCTCATCATAACCAAAGCGTCCCCAAGCGCCAACTAACGTAGGTAGCAAAAGAACAAGTACAAACAACAATATTGTAATTATCATAGCGATTATGTAACGCTTACGGTAAACCTTTTTATAAACACTGGGATGAACAATTAGAATGTACCGATTTATTGTAATCGCGCTAATTAACAATAGAGACGATCCCCCGTTAAAATACTGCACGAAAGGGAATAATATACACAAGGTGTTACTGAAAACCCATCTGTGATGAATGTACTCTGGGGTACCAAAGGGAAGATTCCAAATACAGTAGATGAAATCAGAAACACTCAGGCCAACAATGAAGACGGCTGTGGCACTTTGGACACGTGGACACCTTACTAAAGCAACAATAGTCAGCAAGTTCCCACAGATGCCAACGATGCTTAAAACGATAATGCAAAAGGCAGCAAAGTACATGACACCTGCTAGTTCTTGCGAAACAGGAATTACGGTAAAAGAGAGTTCAAGATCAGTTTCAGTTTTGTTTTGTGTTGTAAAGCTTTGAAATGGAGAAATAGAGGCTGTCATTACTGCTCTTTGTTGAGTATCCACTTTCAGACACTAAGCGTTAAATCTTGAAATAATTAAAAGAATTTTTGTAGTCAAGGGGAAAAATATCACATTTCAAGTTTGGTGGAAACCACTCTCTATGGATGATGAATAAATGAATGTAGCTTGGTAATTAGTCCTGAAAAAAAAAAGTGACTTAAGTTGAACATCTCTGCATTTCCACGTTATATTATAGAATTTATCTAAGTTTCTCTGTTACTGGTGTTGATTTATATGTTACATAAAAAACAACAACAAAAACATTAACATATATGAGTATTCTAATCCTATTCGTAATGTAGATCTAGTTTAGAATATAATGTAAGTCAATATAACTTATATCAATAGTACACATATATTCGGAACTGTAAAGGTTTTATAATTGTGGCATTACTATTTATCTATACTGTTCTGCATTGTCAACCAATGAAACAAAATATCTTATTTCAAAACTATTTTCATCACTTATTTATCTAGAACCTAAACAATACAGACCTATAATGTTATCAGATGGGAATGAAGATTTCTTAAGCCTGATCTTTTCGTTTCGCATCTGTAATCAATCAACATGTAATCTAAAGCAGTACAGTTTACTTACTGTGTTGAAGAAAGTGACATTAGGTGTACGTTTTTAACGTTCTGTCACACCGGATCCAGCACGTGGAAATAGTCGTGAGGAAGGAAAGTGTGACAGGGTCACAACAAAAGTTCCTTGTGTCAAAGACAATTCCAAGTAAACAGTCGGAAGTGTCATAATCAGGAAACGTGACAATAATAGAATGATTATAGATAATATATGAAGTTAACATAAAACAAATCATGGTCGACTTTAGGCTACAAATCATTAGATGAAACGAGAATAAAAGCAGTGGAGGAAGAGAAACTTTGGTTTGGATATGTGATGGTTTTGAACGTGAATCTAGTATCTTTAGTTTGTGAACAAATCAAATATCATGTACACGTTCGAGGCTAGGTGTGACTAATTCATCAGTGTAGTGTGTGTTTCTGTCCGTGACTTTTTCAAAAGGAAATATATTGTTATTTAATGATAGTCTTGTACATGTATGATAATTTAGAAATTTCTAATGTAAAAAAAAGTTAAATTTTTGTTAGAACTTGTAGTTCATAGTTTGTTTTTTTATGTTTCGCTCAAAAATACACGAGAGCTATCTTCGCTAGCTGTCCCTAATTTAGCAATGATAGACTAGAGGGAAGGAAGCTAGTCAATATCACTCACAGCCAACTCTTGTGCTACTATTTTACTGACGAATAGTTGGACTGACCGTCACGTTATCACGACCCCACGCCTGTAAAGGCCATTCGCGGCACGAAAAGGGTATTTTAATAAAAAAATGCAGACAATGGCCAAAAATTAACATACTGTGAGTAATGCAACAACAATGTAACAAGTGTTATTACCTAGGATTCAGTAACAGTGTAAACAAAATAACAATTCTAGAGAGGGAGGAAGAGGTGTACGCTGAATCTGACCCTCCCTGGTCCAAAACATGGACCAATCCCAATGAAAAAGAAGAAGAGTAGAGTGCACTAACAACCAGGCCATGACAGACCAGTTCACTATCATTAGAACTCATGTCAATAGTTATCAGCTCTCTTTATAGATAGCAGGATCTAACGTTGTAAACAAATATTGATGTTGTAACGAATTTGTTATTATATATTTATCTTAATATGAATGTTGTTTAGATTAAGTTTATGTCTGAAAATATGCATAGCTTGTAGTGTTAGATATGTATTGCGAAACTCCCTCCTATTCTCTAAAGTTGTAGAAGATTCTCGAGAGTAAGAATCAACAATATATTTATATACGTAAACGTTTAAATATAGCTCAGTACTGTTATGCAATCTGAATTTTCTAGAAAAACTTTCCACGCCTATAAATACATCCAACGTGACGCGCCAAAAGAGGAGTGTCTGTTAGTAGTTCGCTATAATCAGTGTGCTATAAACTTCGAAAGCTATAACTGTGATTGTTATAACGCTTATCAATCGGAAAACTTAATATATTTGACCAGAAATATTTATAAATTTCGAACATTGCAAATCATTTAATTTCAGTGAATTCTCATCGGACATTAATATTTTTACGAAAACATATAAATTAATCGTGGAGAGCTCAGCGTGTGTGGCCAAGGACAAAACTAGCTAACTTCCCCGCGAATCGTATCTACATCAACTCGTAATTAATTCGCCCATCGTAAACCCTCAATAAGATATTAAGGGAATTCCAAACTAGAAAGAAGATTTTATATTATTTGTAAGTTTGTGAAACTTTTGTTTATAAATCTTTGTTTGTAATAACTATTTATAATAATTGTTATTGTAAATTGTACTGTTATGTGTATATTAAAACGTTTTTGTGTTATAAACGAAGACGGTGTGTATCAATCATGGTAGCAAATATCGTAAATTGACTAAAATATCGGCATATATTTAAATACTAAATCCAAAGTACAATTTAATTACTAAATTTAAATTATCAGTTAACTCGGCTTCGGACTATTCGAAATTCTTATACCTAACAATGTACACAAATCATTCCGGAAATGACAAGGATGAAATAGAAAATTTCGTGTATTACTTACAAGTAATTAGCATGTTAGTTAACTGTTCGTTCATATATATATCTTTAGATTTAATTCACTGAAGCATTATTATCGCCCTATAAAACATTTTACTCTGCATTCTGTAACCCACTATTAGTTTTGGTTTTGTTCATGTTGTATTAACAGAACTTTTTATGGTTGGTTCATATTATTGTAACGTGTTGTATTGTAGAGCGGGTTCTTTTTGATTATTTAGTAAAAATAGTTCCAAGTCCAGTCCTTGTAACGAAAATGAAGTAATTTATTTCGTCAATAACGTTTGCAACAAATTACGTTCTTTTATAACCCTAACTTCACAAATAACGTTTCAATAGAAACTCTGAAACTAATGTACAACTAACTCACAAATAAACTTACTTGAAGAATTTTCTCACTGATCGATCGATAAAAAATACGCTAACTACTGAACTCTCACTGTTTAACTCACCAGATTGACTATAATTTCTTATTTATTATGTGTATCTACAAGAAATCTGACAAGCTTTTATAAAGTAATATGTACAAGTCTATGTACTCAAAAAATCAAATATATTACAATAGTATTCTTCTCAAAATACGTCTGTGAATTAACGACGTCATTTTGAGTCAGACTCTGACTGAAAAGTCCGAATTCAAGGTAAAGTTCTTGTGAAGAATAGAAATACTTTTGTCTATTCTACTGTTTGTATTGTATTTGTTTTGTTACGTCTCCGTTCATTAGTTAATTTTCCGTAAATTCGTTCCGACAAAACTTTACGATACAAGTCCTTTCTTAAATAAAACTGGTTTATTCTTTGTGAATATAACTTTGCGATACACTTAATTTCGACAGTCGCGCTATAACAAACGCTATAATTCACCACGAACGTCTCACGTGCTCAACAATATTCTCACTCATTCAATTACACACACTGCCCACCTTCCCTCCGTCGCTCTTGGCCGGTCTTATATATACAAGACTACCCCATCTAGTAGCCTCCCGACAATTCACGAAGGTTCGAGAAGGACGTGGCGTGATACTAGTCACGTGACCTCGCTGACGCAAAAGTATAATCTTTTGAACTTCCAAAATGCATATCTACAATGTTTTATTTCAATGTCTCTGTACATTATATCTGGTATTTACTTTCGTCTACCACGAACTGTTGCTAAATCAGCAATGTTTGATAAAATAAACAGTTGATAACTTACATAAAATACGTAATACCATGTTGAATGGTATCCTGTAAAGGGTCATGGCATGCGCACTTTGACTTCCACTCGTGCGTATAGGGTTAACTGAATAATTCATTAAGTTAATATTTATATTACACTCTTATTTCTAGCTAGTACAGAAAAAAAATGTTATATTCTACCGAGGCCTTGTGATACCGGCATCTCACGAATAACCAGTAAAGCAGAAAATATAAGCCCGCTAATAAACGGAGATTCTCGGTTCTCTTGCTTAGGTGTATGTTTTACAATGAGCTGCGACAGTTGAGTCATAAAGAGACAAGACAGAGATTGGTACAAAGAAAAAATATTTAATGACTTAAATATACAATACTCCACTAACAAAATACACAACAATACAATTCAACAAGTTAGTAATCGTGTGTTTTTTGAAGGTTTAAATAGAAAGTGTTGGAGCAGGAAGAGTTAATGAAGATTTAATAGAAAAACATTCCTGTTGGTCTGTGTGTTGCTTTATGTAAGTTATACTATGCGAAATGAAACCGTTAATTAAAAACATCCCCAAGTTAGGTTAACATACTCCCACTTAAATCTACATAAATACACTAGAACAGTGAAATCCAATTCCTTACTGGTTAAACTAACTCTGCTTTACGACTCCCAATGAAAAAAAATCTAAAAATCCGTTCACTCCTGGTGAACGTAAACAAACTTAAACTTATACAAATTGAAAACAAGCAAATGAAGCTAAAACTTAATTCATAGAAGGTAAATGTCTAATACAGACTAGAACTTTAGGAACTATCCTGAAACAAAATGGAAGAGAAGAATTTGCAGAAACACACAATTCTAATGTGATAACTTTTGTAACAGTTCTTGCTATGTTAAACAAAGATAAAATATCAGCCCACAGCTTCTGCTAAACAAATTAACCGAAAACAACAGACACAAAATATCTGTAAGTCTCTAAAATCTGTATCATATCTTTGTAAAATTGCTGTCCCAGTTTCTAACACTCTTTTAGATATGCTTAAAACCTCCAAATTCCGAACACAAGAACAAAGTAATTGGGACTTGTTACATCAAATGGCCAACAGGCAGTGAAGATCAAGGGTGAATCCGCTTACAATTATTATATGATTCGTTTGTTTAGTAAACAAACATTGTTATTCCTGTAAGGGAATCAATCACACAGTCCTCTAAACCATCACGTAGCCTAGTTCACTCCTTAAGGAGAGTGAAAGGTAGAAACACATTTAGGCATCACTGTGTTCCAACCGGAGAACTGTGAAAAACAACATACTTTTGAAAACTTTATTTTTTAATTTAAGGGGTGAAAAACATAGAGTATATCCCGGTACTAAATCTTTAACTTTTATGAAATTTGTAGATATGCGTCACAATGACGTCAAGACATGTTTCTATTGGCAACCAAACATCTAAATTATAAAATATAAAATTATAACTTATAACGATTTTAAGTTTACTTGGAAAGGTGCTTACCGGTAGCAGAGTAGTAAGTCTTAGGGCTTATAATGCAAAAAAATCTGGATTTGATTCCAGCCGTGGGTAGAGCACAAATAGCCCACTGTGTAACTTTGCGTTTAATAACAAACATCTACTGTAGAAACTAATATATATTTTCTGGGTAGCTCCCCATAGAAAAGCTGGCTGTAAGTATTATACATAAAATAACAAATATTCTTTAACGACTGGGGTTACTTCATCCCACTGAAATAGTTTCATCACAGTTTGATTGATTGTTTGTAATTAAGCAGAAAGCTACACAATGGGCTATCTGTGCT